TTTTGGCTCCCCTCTCCCTCCAGCCCCTTCTCTTCCTCTGGATCCCTACTGATGCCTCCAGTATGGGGGTGTCCATGCCCTACCCTGTCTCCTTCAGAATGTGGGCTCCTCGGGGTGGAGCTGAGGCTTCTGGTGAGGAGGCAGCATCTCCCAGCCCAGTCAAGCCCAGAAGAGGATGCCATAAATATTATCTTTAAAGGGCAGTTCCGGGGGGTTAGACCACCCCCACCCCCACCCCCACCCCCACCCCCTTCCTAGGCGGGAGCCACTCGCTGAGGAACAGCTGGCAAAGAGGGGGCTGAAGGCAGAAGCAGATGGCGCAGGGAGCAGAGGGTCCGGGGGTGGTGCCGGGAGAGTTCCATGTGGGCCCAGCGTTCCACTGAGCCTTTGTAGGGGGGCTGCTGACTGTCCCTCACCTCTCTGTGCCACTTCACATCTTTTTGTATTTTGGAAGTAAATTAAAATTTGTGGTTAAATTGGTAGTTATTAACCTCACAAAATCATTGTGTGGGCTCTGATTGATCAAAGCTTCCCCCAGCGCCAGGCCCTGAGCCTGCTACTTGATTCCTCCCAGGGCCCTATGTAACTGGACCATTTTCCAAAGGAGGAAACTGAGGCACAGACGGGTGAAGTCGTTTGTCGGGGATCACACAGCCCAGATTAGGGAGCCAGACTGGGAACACAGGACTGTCCGTGTTTTGGAAGGAAATGGCTGGGATGGGGTGTGGGGGGGGCGGCATGTGTGGACACAGCAAGAACCCCTGAGTTCAGATCCCAGCTCCTCACTGTTTTGCGGGTTAGTAGGGGAGGAGGAAGCTGGCATGAGATCTCATAACAACCGGAGGGGGCCGAAGGAGACCCTAATGGTGGTGGTGGTGGTGGTGCACAGAATGATAGTGAGCTCTCCATCCCCAGAGGTATTCAAGCAAACAAGGGGACCTCAGGGTGGCAGGTGAGCCTTCTCCCACCTTGAAGGGCTCTGACTTGATTTTCTGAGCTCAAGGTAGCGGGGGTCCAGCCTCAGGGCGACGCCCCACCCCCGCACATCCTCCTCTTCCCCTGCCTGGAGACCCTGTTAACCCCTCCCAGCCCTGTCATCCCGAGCCCAGCAGCTTCCGGCCCCCTCCAATTGGCTGCGGGGGCTGATGACATCATTGGTTGCCATGACGAACGCCCAACTCTGGATGTGGGCAGCCCTGAGCCCACCGAGGTAAAAATAGTCCTGCATCCTCGGCGCAACCGCCCCAGTGTGTGTGTGTGTGTGTGTGTGTGTGTGTGTGTGTGTGTGTGTGTTTGTGGTGTCCAGAGACCTGGATTCCCGGCCCTACCTCCGTCGAGAGATGTGGGCAGCTGCTGCCCTCCGCGCCTCAGTTTCCCTGCCTGTAAAAAGGCCTCTGCTCCTGATGCGTAGTAGCGGCTCAGTAAATGTGCGTAAAATTTAGCAAGTATTGCGATAGTCTGCGAAGGCCCTTGCTGAGCTCAACAGTAACACAACAACAATAATTTCTGATCATTTTTACCCCAGAACCCTCTTACATTATCTCCAAATTACAGATGGGGAAACCAAAGCACAGGTAGTACCAGTCACTTGGCTCAAGGTTCCACGGCCAGGAAAGAACAGATGATAGATCTGGACCCAGGTCTGGGTGTCCTCAGATTCTAAACTTGTGCCACAAAGCCTTTTGAGAATTAAAAAGCCCTCTTGGGCAAGCCATATTTGAGGGTGGACTCTGGGGTCACAGTGGAACCCAAGCACAGGGCTTTCTGCCCTATATATGGTGAGGACACCCAGGGTTGGTGCAGATCGGCTTGCTGAGCTCTAAAAGAGTCTTCAATAGGGAGTCACTGGTCAGTGTGCCCAGCCCCCACAAATGACCAGGACCCAAACCTGCATAGATTCTGCAGAAGGTGAGCGGGGAATGGCTTTCAGATCTGGGAGGGGACAGGGTGAGGATGACTAAGGAATCTCCCTTTTCTCAATAGATTATTAGTATTTAGCCACTACTGACATACTTCTTTGTAAATATAACTAATTTATTTTCAATAATGACTTTTAAAAAATGTAAGTAGGGGAGCTGAGAAGGGAGGTAGATTGGGAATCTGAAAGGGCTTCCTAGAGGAAGGGACACTTGAGCTGAAACCTGAAGGATGAGCTTCAATTAACAAGCACCAGAAGGGAGGGAAAGTGGTCCTGGCAGAAGATACAGTTGGTGCAAAGGCCCTGAGGCAGGGCTGAGTCCAATGTGTGGGGTGAGCAGAAAAGAGGCATTGGTTGGAACAGGGTGAACAAGGGGCCAACTGGGAAATGAGGTGGGTGGAAAGCTAGGCATGTGAAGGGTTTGTCTCCTTGAGAATGACCCCTGTTTTCTTTTCAGAAGGAGCTGAGCCTACCGCGCCGGGGACGTGGGTGAGTTCACCTGGGGCCAGTGGGCTGGGTGGGGCCCTGTGGTCCTGGGCACAGATATTTCAGCAGCAGCCTCCAAATTGTGAATTTATTTAGTAATTACTACAAAGCTTCTCACCTTGATCCTGCCCCGGTGTTTGCAAAGTACTTCACAGGTGCCTCACGTGGCCCTCACCACAGGCTGGGAGGTGAGGTACAAACTATGCCAGTTTGCAAACGAGGAAACTGAGGTGCATAAGGGTTGTTTCACTGGCTGTACGGCAACCAACTTGAAAAGGTGGCATCCAGAGTCCAGACTGTAGAATTCCAGTCAAGTATCCTGGAACCAGCTTGCATGCCTCCCATGACAGGAAGCTCACTCTATTTTGGGGAACACCGGCAGAAAATCATACACTTCAGGGTCATATTAATGTTCCTGGTGATTGGCATTTTGAGATCCCAAAAGCTCAAAAAACATTTGTTCAGTGCCCTCCCCTGTTTACGGATGGGGAAATCAAAGCCCAGGAGGGGGAGGAGTTTGCCTTGTGCTGGTGGTCTGGGGGAGTGTGAGTGCAGACACTCCCTCTTTGGAGGCTGCATTTGCCTAAGTTGGGGGTGGGAATTCCCTTGCGCCTCAGTGAAATCGCTCACTCAGCAAACATTTTTTCAGGATCTACTGTGTGCTGGGCTCTGTTCCAGGCACAGGGGACACGGTGACGAGTCAATGCTGGACCCTGCCCATGGAGCTTGCACTCTCTTGGGGAGAGTGATGAAGTGATGTTATACAGGGGAGAAATTAAACAGAGACAGACAGAGGGGGCTGGAGGGTGGCTTTAGCCCTGAAGATGTGGGATCTCTTAGAGGAGGTGACATTTGAGACTAGATCTGGAAGAGGAGGAAGAGCTAGGGGGAAGATGTGGGGGGAACAGCATTCCAGGCAGAGGGAACAGCATGGTCAAAGGTCCTGAGGTGCGAACTAGCTTGGCACTGGAAAAACAGCATGGAGACAGGGGTAGCTGGGGTGAAGTGAGCATAGGGGAGGTGGAGGGAGAGGAGAAGGGGTAGGTCCTGGGGGTTGGATGAGAGTTTGAAATCTGATGGTGGGGCTGGTGTCGGAGTAGCCCCCAAGCCCAGACCATCTCTTGTTGGACTGGGAATAGTGCACCTGGTGGGGAGGGCCCTGAGGACCCCAGTAGGGAAGGGGCTTGGACACTGCCCGGAAGGCAGGCACTGTCCCCAGCCTTTGCCCAGGCTGGGGGCGGGGTAGTGGACCGTGAATCAGTACAAACCACTGAGGGCAAAGTCCTGGGCCACGGAATAGGACCAGGACAAAGACTCCCTGAGGGCTGTCTAGTCTTTGCCACCTGCGGTGTGCCTGACTGGGTCCAACCAGGATTTCAAGGGGGCCATGGCCAGACACAGACAACCGCAAACCTTCGGAGTCTGGGCTGGGCAGGAGGGAGGGTGGGGCTCTGAGCGCCAGGGGTCCACGTGTAGGGAGGAGGCTGGTGGGGCTGAATTAGGATATGAATGAGGGGGATGACTGTCCTGGCAGAGGGAACCCAGGGAAACAAAGTGCTGGAGGCGTGGTCGGGGCCTCCGGTGTGCGCCGGGATGGTGACACCCGCTGCGGGCGGCCGGGAACGCCTGGGCTGAGCGGCTGCGGGTGGGAGGATTGGAGTGGGGCACGCACACCGTGCATTGGTGTCCGAGAGACACCCCCCCGGGGGCGGGGCTGGGCGGGGCTCGGTGAGCGCGGAGGTAAGGCCTCGACAGGAAAGGGGCGGGGCCAGTTGATGGAGCAAAAAGTCCGGCAGAGAAGGCAGTGACTGCCCTTCCTTTCCGGCCGTGCAGCTCGGGGGCTCGATACCCGGCACCCTCGGCGTCCCTGCTCGGGAGGGGTGGCACCGCGGCTCCCGCCTCGCACAATCCGACCTTTGCTGCGGGTCTGTGCCTGCGCGCAGGTGCGGGGCTCCGAGCCCCGCCCCGGGACGGAGAGAGCCCGCCCCCCCACCACCACCCGGCGGCCCAGGCCCCACTCCGCGTCTGTCTCGCCTGCCAGGCGTGCTGTCCCGCTGTCCGCGTCTGTCTGTCTGTCCGATCACGACACAGTCAGGGCTTGGCGGCCACGAAGGGGGCGTCAGTACCCGGTCGCGTAGACGCGGCCCCGGCCTCGGCATGAAGTCCCGCAGGGACAAGCTGCACATCCCGGCGCTGACCCTCGAGTGAGTGCTTGGACCTGGAAGGGGAGATTTGGGGGAAGAGGGGCAGACTGACAACCACCCTTCTTCCGTGTCTCTGTTCAAGTCGCCCCGAGTCGCACCGCCGCCTCCAGGGAGCCCTCCCGGGTCAACGGCCTGGCCCCGCCCTCGCGGCCTGCGCGAGATCTAGTATCCCCAGCCTCAGGCCCCTTCTCCCTAAGGAAACCACAACCCCGGTCCCGTCTCCCCATTCGGTCACACGCAGGGGCCGTTGCCGGGTTCACCGTCCCCGGCCTCTTTCTTTGCAGTCTGTCTCCAAGCAGCCAGAGCCCGTCCTTACTGAGTCCCAGCAGCCCCTGCAGCCCCTGCAGCCCCTCACTGGGCCTGCACCCCTGGAGGTAAGTGACAGCGCGCGCGGGCGGGGCTCGGACATCGCCCTGGCACCCCAGAGACTTGGAAGCTGCCCAGACCCAGCTCCCCCGCAAGGTACTGTGGGCTGGTGACATGGACTCTCTGGGCCTCAGTTTACCTCTCCATAAAATGGCACTGTGATCCACACTAGGACCATGATGGGAAAATTCCATATTCGGTCATAGGCAGCAGGTTCCCCCTTCTGATAGACGGTCAGGGCAAGGCCAGAACTTGAGCTGTTGCCCAAGGACTTCCTCGAGACAGGTGCTGGGTTCCCAGCCTGCTCAGGGCCCTGCTGAATTGGCCTGGCCCTCCTGTGCTGTGACCCAGCTCAGCTGGCCGGAAAGCTCCTCCCTGTGAATGTATATACATACATACACACACACACACACACACACACACTCCTAACGCTGAGAGTCCACCATTAGAGCCCTGTGCACTGAAGTCAACCAGGCCAAGTGGTATAGGGAGAAAAGAACCAGCTTGACTGAGCACCTCAAGTTCCTTCTGTCCCCTCTGCAACCCTGGGAGAGAAGCACCCTTTCTGATCCCATTGCCCAGCGGAGGAAACTGAGGCTCAGAGAGGAGACACCAGTTCTCCTGGTTCAGTACGTCTGGGGGCCAAGTCAGGGCCAGCTTTGCCATCAGAGTCTGTTGAGGGTTTGAGCCACTCTCTGCGATGGCGGGGTCTCAGGATCTTGCCCCTGTATGGGAGAGAACATCAGGGATATAGTGGGCGCCTCACACAGCTTGGTCAAAAGTTCAGGGAGGGGACAGATGTACAGGTCAGTGATGTCTAGAATTTGATGGCCCATCAACCATTTACACCTTAGTATGAATGAGCTGCTCAGACTCTTCCCATGGGCCTTTAGTGGGGAGAAGAGAGAACACTTTGGAGCCCACACTGGGAGCTGGGCAACAGGCAGGTACCTTCATTAAGCAGGCATCTACTCTGTGCCAGGTGCTAAGGGCATAGCTGTGAAAAGATGAACATAGTTTCTCCCTCATGAGGCTCTCAGTCAGTTCTCAGGAAGTAGGCAATGAACAAGGGAATGGACAAACAAGACACATTCAGACGGAGACCTCTTAATCTGGTGTTTGAGCCAAGGCCTGAGCAGAGCTAGGGGAAGGGAAGCACCAAGCAGAGGGAGCTGCACATGCAAAGGTCCTGAGGCAGGACCAAGATTTTTAAAGCCCCTGTGGCTACCTTGGGGGAAGAAAGGTTGGCTGGGGACAGGAGACAGGAATGGAGGTGGCAGAGGCAGGGAAGTGGCTAGGGCAACATCTAGGTGGGAGATGGTGGGGCCTGGACCAGGCTGGGGTGTCCAATGGGAGGCAGAGACTGTGTCGCCCCCATTTAGCTGAGGAGAATCTCGGCTTGGGACCTCAAAGTGTGTTGTCCAGAGGCACCCTGAGAGAGAGTGTCAGGCCAGATCTGACTCTGGGTCCTTGGCCTCAGCCTCAGGTGAGGACAAGATGAGGGAAGGGACCTGTTGAGAGCAGATAAGCCAGTTTTACCAGGAGGAAATAGAGGCAGAGAGTTTGGGATTCTAGCTGAGTCCACTGGCCCCTTGCTTGCCACCAGGGGGCAGCAGAGCCCCCGTTGACTTGGGCCAGGCAAGGAAATGGGTACCTGCCTCCTCTGCTCCAAGGGGAATAAGCCCACATTTGTCCCCTTGGCCTCCAAGGCCCTGTGGGTCCAGCTCCTGTGATGAACCACCCCCCCGCCCCGCGTTCTCCCATCCACCTCTCCAGTGCTCACCCTATTCTAGCCATGCGGCTTCCTGGACTGCCAGAATATAAGCTGGCCAGCCTCAGGGCCTTTGCACTTGTTGCCCCCCCTGCCCAGAGCTCCGCTTTCTCTGTTTACTCCTTTATTCATTTGTCAAGTATCCATCAAGCTCTCAGATAGGAAGCCTTTCGTGTCTAAACCTCCCCGCCCCTGCCCCACCCCACCATAAGGGCCCCCAAGCCCCAGTTGCATCCATTATGCACATCCATTTCCCTCATCCTGACCCCATCATGGTTGTGATTTCCATGTTTTCTTGTGTGATTATTGAGTTGTTTTTCTCATCCAAAGGTTTGAGAGCCCCCTGAAAGCCTGACCTGGATCTGTCCTGGTCATCCTATAGCCTCAGGCAGGGCCTGCTATACATCAGGTGCTCAATTAATGCTTGTGGCACAGACAAATGGGAAGCAGATGGGAGGGCTGTACCTGTGGTGTTGGGGGGGGGAGCAGTTTGAAGAGAAGGTCATGAGTTGGGCCCATATGGCCAAGGGGACAACAAAGAGGCTGTTCCAGGCAGGAACAGCATTGTCAGAGGCGTGTTCCCTCTGGGGGCTTGGACACCAAGGACAGGAAGAATTTGGATTTTCTACCGAGGGCACTGGGAGCCACATAAAGTATGGGGCTTGGAGGGGCATGGACAGCTCATGGGCAGGTATGAAGGGCTGGGGTGGCCCTACCAATGTGGGGTCGGAGATGGGGGTCTGTGTGTCCACCTAGGGCTTTCCTATTTACACAGTTACTGGCACAAGCAGAGAGAGGCAAAGTCTGAGGTAGAGTTAGGATTCGAGCTCTAGGAAAGGGATTTACCCGGGAGTGTGAATTTGCTGTAAAATGAGGAGCCGTGGAGGGTGTGTGAGTAGGGGAGGGGCTTGATCTAGTGGGCAAGGGGCTGGCACCAGAGGTCACTTGATCAGCCAGCCTTTCGCGGGAGGTCTTTGCCATGGCCACAGGCCCTCTGGATTGCCAGCTGTAGCCCTGTTCCGCAGAGGAGGAAACTGAGGCCAGATGGGCGTGGGAGAAACAGCTGCTGGGGATGCCAACACAATGGGCATAGTGGGAGGCATGTAGGCAGCACAGACCGGGGATGATGGGCAGCTCCTTTACTAACTGTGTGCAGAAGTGTCCCCGGCACACATGATGGGGGGAGCTTGTGGACACAGCATGTTAGCCTATGGTGCATGAGACCGTGGCTTCATCCCCACTCGGGTCCCCAGACCTATGGGACCTCGAATTCCTCCCATGCAGGAGGCTGTGTTTCCTGTATGTGGCTCAGGCTAAGCACCTGAGGATGATGGGTAACCTCTCTCATCCTCATCTACACATATGACCCCACAGCAGAGCCTGTTCTTTAGCCTCAGAATAAGTCCAGAATCCACCCACTTTACTCCACAGCCCCACCCTGGTCCAGGCCTGTGTCCTCCCCTCCCAGACCCTGTTACAGCCCCTCACTAGCCTCCTGCCGCCTCCACTCCTGCCCCCCAACAGCTTCTGTTCCTCGTGGCAGACATGGGGGGCGGGGTTTACAGACATAGTCCAGATCACACCCTCCCGCTGCTCACACATCCTCCATGACTCCCTGTTGCTGCTGCAGTAAAACTGCACTCCTCCCTGTAGCCCACAAGGCCCACATGGTGAGTCTTGCTGGCATCTTCCCCTCAGTCCTGCTTCAGGGCCTTTGCGTGAGCTGTGCTCCCTGCCTGGGATGCTCTTTCTCCATGGCTGGCTCCTCTTCCTTCTCGATGTCTCACTGCTGGCTGCAGTGTCGCCTCAGAGAGGCCTCCTGGCTAAAGTCGTCCTTTGCCAGCCTTACCCCTGCGCTTTTCCTTCCTCAACTTCAGTGTGTGAAATTAACTTGTTCATTTAATTGTTTCCTGTTCACTCTCTACCTCCCCTACCAGACTGGGGACTCCTGGGGGCAGGGATTATTTGTGGCCCGCATCCCCAGGGTTCAGTACAAGGGCAGACACACCGTAGGTGCTCAATGTTTGTTGAGTGAATGAGTGGCCAGATATGGGTTGTTTGAGCCCCAGTCTGGGGGGCGTGGAGAGCAGGCCTGGGGAGACACTCAGCAGGTATCTGGGCCACTGCGTGTGGGCCACCTGAAGGAGACACGGGGCTTGGAGGCAGCAAGGCAGGGAGTCTGAGAGAGACTTGAGAAGCAAAATGGGTGGCAAGATGGATGGGCAGGGTTAGGGCTACACATCAGGTAGCAAGACCCCCTGTACGCCTCAGTTTTCTCAGATGTGGGGTCTGGGCTCCAGGCCAGTCCTGCCTCGGCCGGTTCCCAAAGCGTTGTGTGGCCTGTGGAGGGTCCACCTTCAGGGTGACACTGTCCCTGACTTCCTGGGGCTGTCATGAAAGGAGGAAGCATTAATTCACAGACATTCCATAGTGAAGATGAACTGTACCCCCAGCTCTGTACCAGGCACTTTCTGTGCCTCTGATTTTATTACATTTTTCACAAAGGGACATGTGTATGTGGGGAACCAGAGGCCTGGAAGTTTGCCTAATGCTAACGTTTATCGAACGGTTACCAGGCACTCTTGGGAGGCACAGTGTAATCTTCATGTCAGCCCCATCTTCCTCCCATCTTACAGTTGAGAATACTGAGGCTTGAGAAGTTAAATCAGGCATCTGATTCCTGATAGTAGCCAGGCTGATGGCCTTTCCCGTCGTACAGACAGGAAGAGCATATCAGATGCCCTGACTCAGTTTGCTAAACACACCCTCTGTGCCAGTCCAGTGCTGGAAGATGCTGGGACCTCAAGGAGCCCAAGCCTGGGGAAGACAGAGCTGGACAGACACAAGAGAAGACCTCCTGAAGGAGGGGACGCTGGATTTTGCCAGGCAGGAAAGGCATCCCAAGAAGTACAGCCAGCGTGGGTGCAGTAGCATGAGCTGGGCCAGGCTGCTGAATGGGTCTTGAGTGCCGCACTCAGGAGGGGTTAGCGCCGAGGTAGGGCAGAAAGGGGCGCGATCGGATTTACATTTTGAAGGAAGGGAGCCAACTTCGAAGGTCCTACATCCAGGTACCGCCAACGCCCCGCCCCCGCCGCCCGCAACCCTGGCAACGCCCCGCCCCTCCGCCCGCGGCCATGGCAACGCCACGCCCACCAGCCAGCACGCGGGTTCGCAGGTCTTGCTTCCGCGTCGCTCGCCCCACCCCGCCAGGCCAGGCCCCGCCCCCGCGCTGTCCTGGGCGGGGTTCCAGGCCTCGCTCCCGGCCTCGCGCTTCCTCCTCGCCCCCCACCCCCAGCCCCGCGGCGCGTGCCCCGCCCCTCACCGCGGGGCTCCCGGGGCAGATAACGCCGTGAAGGTTCGCGTCCCGCCGCCGCTGGTTGCGCCCGCGCGCCTCTCGGGCCTCTGGCGGCGGCGGCGGCGGCACAAAGGGAAGCAGCATGTCCGATCCTAGCTACTGGACGGCGGTGGCGGCGCCCGGCCACCGGAGCCGCCTGGCCAAGGGCGCGCTGCTGCAGCGCTCCAAGAGGTAGGGGGCTTCGCGCGGGCAAAGGCGCGGCGGCCGACCGAGCAGACACGAGTTGCCAAAAGTGTGTCTCGGCAGCGCGGGGAGGGCCACTGTGTCCGGCGGTAGGGGGAAGTGGGCGGATGCACTGGGATCCAGGTATCCCCTGGGGTCCCAGGCACCTTCCTTTCACCGCTCCTTACCCAAATTGGGATGTCTGTCCGCCGGGGTCGCAGCTCAGGTGGTGACAGAAGCAGCAGGGATTTGGGACTGAATCAGGATTCGAACCTGTCCTCTGGGCAGACCTGCGGAGGAGCTTCTTGGAAAAACTGAGGCTGTTTAGTCCCTGGGGCCCAGTCAGCGGAAATGATGGTTCAGAAGCAAATATTTGCTGCGGGAGGATGGTGTGTTTGTCGGTTATGGGGGGGTGGGGGGAAATCACGGTGTTCTATCCAGAGCAAAGTGGAGTCTCAGTTTCTCCTGAAAGGCAGAGAAGCTAAGTGAGGGCTGTGAGCTCTGCTGGACCTGCGTTGAAATTCCAGCTCAGCCACTGTCAGGCTGTGTGCCTTCAGGCAGTTCCTTAACCTCTCTGTGCTTGAGTGTCTCACCAGTGCTTGGTCGGGGCACCAGAGGGGAGCACAGGCAAAGGCTGGGCGGTGGGACCAGCTGCTGAAGGACCTTGAATGACTAATCCAGGGTTTAGGCTCTTCTCCCAGAACCTGGGGAGCCACAGAAGGCTCATGGGCACCTCAGGGATCAGGTGCAGGAAACTGGCCTCAGGCCCCTCTTTTCTGACATAATTCTCACTCTCTGTTGTGCCACAGGGCTGGTTATTGAAAAACTAGGCAGCTTCTCAGGGTCCTGGGCCTTCTCCAGGGAGGGCTGAGCACACAGTTGGTGCTCAGTAGATGCTCGGGAATTGAACAGATGATGCCCAGTTCCCCGTTGAGATCTCAGATTTGGTTGTTTTCAAGAAAGCCCTGCCTGAGAGCAAGAGGGAGGCTCCCAGTGTTTTTCCCAAATGCTGTTGGAAGTGAAAAATGATGCATTAGGGTGCAGTGTGGGGGAGAGGGGCTGGAAGAGGATGTGGGCTGTCGGATGTGTGTGTGTTGGGGGGGTGGTGACAGGAAGTTTTGCAGGAACCTGTGGGTTTCGCTTTTGCTTTTGCATCTCAGACTAGAGGACAATCTCTGTGCCTGATGACATCTGTGGCCTCAGTTTTCCAGGCTGGGAAATGGGTGCAGCTAGTCTCTCTCTCCTCTGGGCTTATTGGTATTGGCAGATGTTGGTGATTTAATTCGCTGGAGAGGCATTGCTTGCTCTCCCACCATGCACCAGGCCCTGTGAGTAATGTCAGAAGAAAGATGACAATATACGTACATGCCACAATTTACCCAGTGCCAGGCCCAAAGCTGAGCACTGTGTATGCACCTTTGCAAAGTATACAGATGGGAAAATAGGCTCCGCAGAGCAGCTGCACATGGAGCCGTGGATAGGCTGAACCCCTCCTCCGTGCATGTCTTGTCTCCTGAGCTGGTTGCTGACCTCACTCTCCTTGGCCTGCACTGTGCCTTCTGCCTGGGACGCCATTCCGGGCCCTGTGAGGCCCCGAGGTGTCATCTCTCCCTCCCTGAGCAGTTCTCCCGCCAAGGCTGGGCTGCGTTGGCGGCTCAGGCAGTGTGGGCTGATGCACTTGTCGAGAGCAATAGGAGCCGTTGCCGGGCGACTGCTGGAGTGGGTGGGGGGAACCGTGTCGCTCCCAACTTCCCTCTGCCAGGGCGGGGGCTGGGGCCAGGGCACATATGGGAATTACTGGGCAAGGGTTGCGGGGGGCGCCTGGGCCAGGGGTCTGGTGGCCAGGAGGGAGCTGGGATGAAGGGAGGAAAACATGTGGGCAAAAGTTTGGCAGAACAGGGACTTCCCTGATGGTCCGGTGGGTAAGACTCAGCGCTCCCAATGCAGGGGGGGCCCCAGGCTCGATCCCTGGTCAGGGAGCTAGATCCTGCATGCCGCAACTAAAAGATCCCGTGTGCCGCAACGAAGATCCCACGTGCCGAAACTAAGACCCGGTGTACCCAAAATAAAATAAATAAATAAACAAATAAATGTTTTTTTTAAAAAAACATTCTTTGAAAAAAAAAAAAAAGTTTGGTAGAACAAAAACAGGACCCAATATGCAAGATGCTGGCTTTAGGGTTTCCAAGGATCAGATTGGCGTTTTAGGGGGATCTTGGGGAGGGGGTCTGCTCAGAGATTGGAGCAGTGGCCCTGGGAAAAGGTGCATAAAATGGAGTGGGCGCCTGCCTCAACCCACCTGTGGGTTCCAGGATCCTCTCCAACCTCTGCCTTATTTGCCATTGTTCCTGGCAGTGGCCACGATGTGGGCAAGGCTGTGGGGGCGGGATTGTGGAGCAACCTTTCCCCCCACCCCACCCCCCACCCCGGCATTGCGCAGCGTGCAGAACTTCCCCCACCAGAGATCGAACCCGTGCCCCCTGCATTGGAAGTGTGGAGTCTTAACCACTGGACCGCCGGGGAAGTCCTGGGTGTGGGACTGTGAACGCAGAAGCTGGAGAAGCTGGGCCAGGGCCATGATGTTGCAGAGGGGCGGTCCGCCTGGGAAGCAGAGAGAGAGTGGTCGCCCCCAGCTTCCTGTCCTGCCCTGAAGCCATCACCCATGTGCTCCCAGCCGAGCAAGTGGTCCTGTGAAGCAGGAGTCCTGGACCTGAGCATGTGGCCCTGGACCTGAGCATGTGGTCCTGTGAAGCAGGAGTCCTGGACTTGTCCCCACCTTCCCCCCCAACAGCTGCCGCAGCGGGAACCGCAAGAGCCTGGTGGTAGGAACGCCCTCGCCGACCCTTTCCCGGCCCCTGTCACCCCTGTCCATCCCAACAGGTGAGCGCGGGGGCAAGCGGGGCAGGGTGGGAGTGTCCTGTCTCCACCCCCACTGACTCAGTTCCCCCCCACCTCCTCCTCAGCAGGCAGCAGCCCCCTGGATAGTCCTCGGAACTTCTCAGCTGCATCTGCTGTCAACTTCCCTTTTGCCCGGAGGTGAGTGGTCTCCGGCTTTGGGGGATGGTGTTGACATGATGGGCGAGGGGACAGGCAGGGGCATGCACCTGGCGGCTGGACCTGCCTCCTCATTAGCCTTTTCCCCACCCCTGGCCTCTGCCCTGCTGTGGTCTCTCCTCTGGCTTCCGCCCCTGGCAAATGCACACATGCACGCACGGTCTCCTGCAGCCACATCCCGAGCACAGACAGGTAATTTCTATGAACCCTCCGGGAGGGGCAGGGGGAGGGGGTGGCATGGCTTGGTCCAGGAATCACTCATTCACTGAAAGTTGTTAATTCACTTAACAAGACCTGACGGAGGACCTGTTATGTGCCAGGCACTTAGATGTCACTTATTCATTCAACAACGTTTATTCAGTGCCTGCTGGATGCCGTGCCCTACACCGGGGGCTGAGGACTGGGAGGCTGGACTTTGGCCCTCAGGGAGTCCTCAGTCTGGTGGGAGTGGCCAGCGTGTACTCCAGCAGCTGCAACTCAGAGAGCAGCTTTGATGGGGGACGTACTGGCCGCTGGTGTCAGGGAAGACTTCCCGGAGGAGGCAGCTGAAGAACAAGGAGAAAACACACAGTGGACTTGCTCACCCTGTATTCCTGTTCTTGGCCTTTTCAGAAGGTCCTTCCTCCAATGGGGCCAGGATCGGCCAGCCACAGTGCTTGCCCTTGGTCCCCACAAGCTGCAGGGGCCTTGCCTTCCTTCCAACTTCTCATTCTCTCCAGGGCCGACGGCAGAAGATGGTCCCTCGCATCCCTCCCGTCTTCTGGCTATGGAACCAACACGCCCAGCTCCACTGTCTCGGTACCCACAAGTCCTACCTTGGCAGGCAGACAGGGGAGTGCCAGGTTGGGGGTGGGGAAGACACATCTTTGGGGTTTTTTTTTTTTTTGCAGTACGCGGGCCTCTCACTGTTGTGGCCTCTCCAGCCGCGGAGCACAGGCTCCGGACGCGCAGGCTCAGCGGCCACGGCTCACGGGCCTAGCCGCTCCGCGGCATGTGGGATCTTCCCGGACCGGGGCACGAACCCATGTCCCCTGCATCGGCAGGCGGACTCTCAACCACTGCGCCACCCGGGAAGCCCCTTTGGGATTTTTTTTTTAAGGTGTTGGATAGTTATCCAATCAGCAAACATCCTGGCTGGCCCCTCTGTGCCCCATTTTGGGCAATGTTGGGGCGTCCCTGAAAGGACCCAGCCTCAGCCTCAAGGGACTCCTGGTCCGGGATACACAGATATCCTCATCCTTGTGTGGTCAGGGAAGGCCTGGTCAGAGGGGGTCTTGGGGCTGCCAAGGGAGCAGGCAGGGAAGGCTTCCTGGAAGAGGAGACATCAAAGCTGGAGTTTTGAGGGATGCATAGGAGCCAGGCAGGAGAGTTACCATCTGATGACCAGCAGACAGCCTGAGCCTTGAGGGGTAATGCTGGGGTCCTGGCTGTGGCACTGACCATGAACCCATGGCCCCGATACCCCCTCCTGCCAGTCGAGCTCATCCTCCAGGGAGCGCCTCCACCAGCTTCCTTTCCAGCCGACGCCGGACGAACTATGCTTCCTGTCCAAGCATTTCCGCAGCTCAGAGAGCATGGTTGATGAGGAGGGCGGCCACCACTCACCTCGCCTTCGGCCCCGCTCCCGCAGCCTCAGGTGGGCCTCGACCTCTGACCCCAGCCCCAGCCCCTCCCTGGGCTGGCTTTGGGACCCACATCGTGGCTCCTCCTCCACCTTTGGTCCTGACCGTGCACAAGCCTGGCCTCCGGCCCTTGGCCCTCAGACCTGACTCAGCCGCCCTTCCCTGGGCTGTGTTTTGGGTCCCATGTCATAATCCAGTTGTCCCCTCCTTCAGCCCTGGACGCACAACAGGGGCCTTCGACAATGAGATCGTCATGATGAATCACGTGTACCGGGAGAGATTCCCCAAGGTGGGCAGCGCCTGGCGGCTAGACCAGCCCCAGCTCCCTCCATGTTGCTGTCCCTCCAATGGCACCTGCTGTCTTCCTGGCTGCGTCCCCCCATCTGTCCATTTCTATTTTTCCCTGTCTCTCTGTCTCAAACTCCCCCCTCCCCGACCCGCACCTGTACACGTTGCTTCTTCTCCTCCAATCTTTGGACCCCATCGTCACATCTTCTCTCTCTCCCGCCCCCATCTGCGCATGTCGCTCCCCAGCCCCATCCAATGACCAGGTCACCCCATCTCCCCCACTCCCTGCCCAGGCCACAGCACAGATGGAGGGCCGTCTGCAGGAGTTTCTGGCCGCCTTCTCACCCGGCGCCCGGCTGGCACTGGCTGACGGCGTCCTGGGTTTCATCCACCACCAAATCATCGAGCTGGCCCGCGACTGCCTGGCCAAGTCTGGAGAGGCTCTTGTCACCTCCCGCTACTTCCTGGAGATGCAGGAGAAGCTGGAGAGGCTGCTGCAGGATGTGCGTGGGGGCAGGGGAGCGCAGGGTTTAGGGGTCCCCAAGGAGGGCAGGGCAGGACCAAGGGCTTGCGGATGACGCTACCACCCATCTGCCCCCAGGCCCATGAGCGCTCAGACAGTGAGGAAGTTGGCTTCATTGTCCAGCTTGTCCGGAAGCTGCTGGTCATCATCTCACGGCCAGCGAGGCTCCTCGAGTGTCTGGTGAGTGTCTTGGCACATGGCCAGGTGCCGGGCTGAGTCCAGGCACCCAACAGTCCTGCCGAGATACAAGAGACAGGCCCCATCGTATAGGGCTTTGAGAGGAATGCTGGGGGCTGCCGGGCTGCGGCGGGCTTCCCAGAGGAGGGGCCGGGAGCTAAGATCCCAGGGACGAGTTGGAGCCACTGGTGAGGATGCTTCAGACAGAGGGAGCGGCGTGTGCAAAGGCCTGCAGGTGGGACCAGGCCTCGGCTGACCAACCCCTCTGCACCCCCAGGAGTTTGACCCTGAGGAGTTTTACCACCTGCTGGAGGCTGCCGAGGGCCAGGCCCGCGAGGGCCAGGGCATCAAGACGGACCTGCCGCGGTACATCATTGGGCAGCTGGGCCTGGCTAAGGACCCCCTCCAGGGTGAGCTGGGGGTGGGGCAGAAAGAAGAAACTGGGGTGAGATTGCGGTGGAGCCGGGATTCCAACCCATGCCCACCTGACTCCAGAGCCGCCACACTGTCCTTCCTCTCTCTTTGGCCCTGTCCTCAGCCACCTGCAGGGCATATTATGGGGAAAGTGCCCAGGATTCCGGGGTAAGGTGGCCACAAGTTGGAGCCCCTGACCTGCCAAGTCCTCAAATGCTAAGTCAGGTTGGGCCAGGGTGCATTCACGCTGTCCTGTGAATTCACAAAGCACTTTCCCAATTCCATCCTACTGTGGCCCGGGAAGTGGGAGTCAGACGGGGCAGCCCATGGGCACGACCGAGGTGGCCGAGAACCCCCCAGCCAGGACGGGGGAACAACCGAGACATGGTGCTAGGGGAGCATTGAACCTGGCCTGGTCCAGGGGTGGTTGGGGGAGCTCTGGGAAGAGAGGATATTCAGGCTGGGGCCTGGAGGATGGAAAGGTGTGCAGATTTAGGGGAGAGAGAAAATGAACCGGGCAGGGGGAATGGTGAAGGCAAAGGTCCTGAGGTGGGTCTGTGTCTGGCGTGTTGAAAGAGCAGCGAGGAAAGGGGTGTGGCTGAGGAAGGAGGGGAGCTGGGGGTAGGCGACGGGGTCAGCAGGGACCAGCCGCAGTGGCCATCGTCCACTGGGATTGGGCTGCCATTGTCCCCATTTAAAGCCGGAGAGACTGAGGCTCCGGGCAGATGAGATTGAGCTGGGGTTCAGGCCCAGGCGTGCCCGAGACCAGATCGCCCGTGGACTAGCCGTGTGGCCGCAGCCAACCTCTTTTCTGTCTCATGAAGATGACGCAGGTGGCACTGTGGGTGGGCCCGGGTGTCAGAGGAAACATGAAGTGGCCAGGCAGGCAGGTGGCAGCTGAGGCTGCGGGGGCAGACCATCTACCCGGCACCGTGCAGTGGGCCCACTGACAGTGGGACGGGTGGGCTGCATTTGAACCCGGGCCTCCCTCACCCTGAGGCTCACTGCCTCATCTTAGCCTTGCTCTGTGACCGCAAGACACTGTCTTCATGGCCACCGTCACTGCTGTTGTTCACCAGCTGCACACTCCCACCCGGGGCCACCCCTCTGCTAAGCCCCAGGGCTGGAAACTAAGGGGGCTCGCCTGGGCCATGCCCTGAGCTGAGGAGGATGTTAGGAGCCATCACCCAGAGGGGCGGCGGCACAGCCGGTGTTCACAGGCCTAAGACTTGGGGCCAGGGTTCAAGGTAGGCTGAGCATTCGGAGCCTGGGCTTCCCACTGGCCCTTCTAGAAGGTTCCTTAGTCGTTGTTCAGTCCAGCTTCCTGGGTTTGACCGACACCTGGACGCAGTAGGGGCTGAATGACAGTATCGTGGGAGCTGGCCAGGGGAGGCACCATTTCCCCAGCCCAGGATGAGCCCTGGAGGCCTCCAGAAGTCTCTGGGTGGTGGAGGGGCAGGGCTCAGAAACCCCATTTGAGGCTCCTCCCTCATTTTACAGAGACGGTGCCTCTGAGTCACCTTGATGACAGTGGAGGACAGCCCCCAGCACCAGCACCAGCACCGGAGTCCCCAGAAGTAAGACGCAGAGCTTTGGTGGCCCCACCTGTCTTGTTCTTTTGACGGTAGACCAGGTGGCCATGAGAAGGGCTGGGTTTGCTGTTTGCTGAGGTTTTGCATACAGCAGGTGCTTAATGAACGCCTGTGACTTTGGGGGGGATGGTGGGGGCAGGTGAGACTGCCCTGCCATGGAGGTTGGGCAGGGCAGGGTTGGAGGGGGCACTGGAAAGGGGAGCTTTGCAGAATGTGTAGGAGTTTTCTGGAAGGAGGGCATGCGTGGCTTAAGCAAAAGCTCAAACTCGGAAGCTGAGTTTGAGAAGTTTGTATAGGAGAAGAGGTAGCGTCAGGTGCCAGGACCAGCGGTTGGGACTTGGGGGCAGGAAGAACACAGCCTGCTCAGCAGTGGGGCAGGACCCTGACCCCTCTTGCTACCCACCCCCCAGAGTCGTGCCCTGGTCGGCCCTTCACGGAGGAAGCCCTGTGAGAGCGACTTCGAGACTATCAAACTCATTAGCAATGGGGCCTATGGGTGAGTCCTTGGGTACCCCGTAGACCCATTTCTCAGATGCCCACGGGGATGGCTGAAGCCCACACAGCCCCTGAGTGTGCAGACAGGGAAACTGAGGCCTGAAGAGGGAAGTGGAGGCACAAAACAGCAGGGGCATGGCCTTGGAAGGGCTTGTCCGTGATCTAGGTCCTTACTTACCCCAGGTGTTTGGGGTTCTAGGAATCTGGGGACTGAGCAAGGCAAAAGATGGCCACACGATGGCAGTAGCGTGCGCCAAGCATTCTTTAAGTGCCGCTTTGACGGATTTGCTTTGGGGGAGGGGGGAGGAGTCCCTCACAGCGTAAGACCGTTGTGGGGTCTGGGACGGAGGGGGGCTTGCAGAGGAGGCTTCTGTGTCCAGGCTTATGTGTCCGCAGCACAGTGGGGGGGGGGTGTCTCTGGGTCTGAGAGCTCCACAGGGCAGGAGCGGCTTGGGGTCTTTAATAGCCCCAGCGTTTATCTTATCTACAAGGTGTGCAAAACCAGCAGGCTCTAAATGGCTAAAAGTCTGCGTATTTGACTTGTAGTCAAAGCGATTTGACTGTGTGCCAGCGGGGCTTTTGAGCTAACGGGTCTCAGTCGGCTGTGAAGAAATAAACAACCTAAGGGTCATCTTTGGCTCTTTGTATGACACCAGGGAGAGTGGCTTAAACCCACGGGGTGGCCGCTTTGGGAGAAGGGAGGGCCGGGTAAAGAGAACAGGTGTCCCCGGTGGAGGGCACAGCACAGGCAAGGGCACAGCACAGGCAAAGGCACAGCGGGTTGGGTTCTGGACCCAGGTCGGGTCCCAGTGCTTGCCGGGACCTGGATCTCGGGCCTCAGCGAGCCCGGCTCCCCCCCCCCCACCCCCCCCCCCCCCGCCCCAGGGCCGTCTACCTGGTGCGGCACCGGGAAACGAGGCAGCGCTTTGCCATCAAGAAGATCAACAAGCAGAACCTGATCCTTCGCAACCAGATCCAGCAGGTCTTCGTGGAGCGTGACATCCTCACCTTCGCTGAGAACCCGTTTGTGGTCAGCATGTTCTGCTCCTTCGAGACCCGGCGCCACCTCTGCATGGTTATGGAGTATGTGGAAGGTGCGGTCACTGGGGCTTGCATGCCTCCAGAGCAATGGAGAGCTTACTCCTGATCCAGAAGAAATACCTTATCCCTCCTTTGATCAAGCCCGCAGTCTGCTCTGTCCTCCATGGGGTCCCAGCCTGCCTTGGGGGACCCTCAGTCTGTGGTGGGGGACCCAGCCTCAGGGAGTTGGAACTGGGGGATCCCAAAGAGAAGTGTGAGGGCAGGACCCTAGGGTATAGGGGTAGGATGGACGGCCTAGGCAGGAGGGACTGGTGGGCAAGGGCCTAGAGGCTAGAGCAGCGAAGGGAGGGAGGCGTGTGTCAGAAGGACTAGGGGGGTTGGGGGCCAGGGTGAGGAGTTGTGCGATCAGGTTTGCAGTTCAGGAAAGAGCAGGGCCTTCAGGTAAGTGCAGGACATGCATTTACCAAGCGGCTGCCGGGTGAGCAGAGGAAGCATGCCCTTAGGAGGCACCAGCTGTGTACAGGGGAAGGGACTGTGCACTTAACAGAGCTGCTGCCCTGCCAGAGGAAAATCAGAAGGCAGGGTCTGCCTATCCTCCCGCACCTCCCAGGTCCCCACCCCAATTCAGGACAGATTGGAGACACTTTCCAAAAGGTGGGGAGGGCACATAGGCACAAATCTGGGCACGGCTGTAGAGCCGAGGGCCTCTGTGAGCACGTCCACCCCTCTGCAGGCGGCGACTGTGCCACGCTCCTAAAGAACATGGGCCCGCTGCCCGTGGATATGGCCCGCATGTACTTCGCCGAGACGGTGCTCGCGCTGGAGTACCTGCACAACTATGGCATCGTGCACAGGGACCTCAAGCCAGACAAGTGAGTGGGCCTGGCTCTCAGGGGGCGGGGCTCAGAGTAGCCTGGGGGCGGGGCCTCTGAGTGGGTCTGGGACTGCTCAGGAGCCCCACCATCTAGATTCTCCTGGCATCATGGGCCCCCTGCTGGTAGAAAGCAGGGATCTTGGCAATGTTGAGCACCTGGTGTGTACTGAAGAGAGCAGGTATTTAATAGGCACCTGCTGTGTGCAGGGGAAGGACAGTGCACTTATCGAGGTGCTGGCCAGGCAAAGTGAGGGGGCACAGACTGGACAGGGGAAGGGACCATGCACTCACAGAGCTGCTGCCACACAAGGCAAGTGAACATGCACTTATGAGGCACCAGCTATATACAAAGAGCAGGGACATACACTTTGCAAGACCTTATGTGTAGAGAAAGGGACTGCATGTCTTGAGCTCCTGCTGTGTGTTAGTGCAGGGAAGAAAGAGAGTCCTAGAGTGTTTATTTTATCCTAGTTTCTAGTAAGCACCTACTGAGTGCCTGGTGCTCTCTGGGTGACTGAAAAACGCAACTGTGAGTGTAAATAATCCCTCATGCTTTGTAACCCTTTCATAATTTTCAAAGCACTCTTCCGTACATTAGTTGAGCACCTCCTGTGTACAGAGGAAAGCGCTGCTCTTTCATCAAGTGCCCTTTGGATACCAGGCAAGAAGTATGAGTTTCTCAGGTACTTGCCATGTGGAGGTGTGGACATAAGCGTTAAGAATCTGCATGTTTTCAGGGCATCTTGTAGTTTGCAAGTGGCTTAGAAAACAAAGCACCTGTATTTGGCACCTGCTGTATACCTGGGCCTGTGCTCACCATTTTAAGGAACCCAGACGGCGGTGTAACTAACTTCTCACACACTGATGACCCTTTTGAGTTTATAAAGCACATTTTTTAGCTGGTGTGTATTTACTGGGCACCAGCTGTGTAAAGGTGATCAGAACAACAGTTATTAGGCAATGACTGTGTGTCAGTCCCCGAACACTGCAGCTATCTTTTTATAAAGTTTTTATGTTGAGGTCAGCATGCATTGATCACCTACTGTGTGCCAGGGACATGGGTCCCTTTCCAATGGAGGCACTTGCTACGTGGAGGCGTGAAGAGCCCTGCATGTTTTCAGGGCCTTAAGAGCCCTGCATGTTTTCAGGGCATCTTGTTTGCGAGTGGCTTAGAAAACAAAGCAAATGTGTGTTGGCATCTGCTGTGTACCTGGGCCTCTATGCTTGACGCTCTAAGGCTGCTTGCTTTGTGCCCATTGGGCCTCTGTGGGATCATCCTGGAGTGGGATCTTCCAAGTGTCCCCAAGGCAGGGCCTGCCCCTCCCAAGCTCAGGACCCTCTTCTGAAAAACGGTGTGGGAAGGTGCAGCCCTGGAGGGTTCAGGGAGGGATAGGCCCACACAGTAGGTGCTCCAGAAAAATATTTTTTCCTCTTTGCTTCGGAAAATTTCAAATACACCCCAAGTCAGGAGAAGGTACATTTGTTTGCTAGGGTTGCCCCAACAAAGTACCACAGACTCGGGGGCTTAAACAACAGAAATTTATTCTCACAGTTCTGGAGGCCAGAAGTCCAAGGTCAAGGTGTCGGCAGGGCCGCGCTCCCTCTGAAGGTGATGGGGAAGGATGTGTTCCAGGCCTTTCTCTCGGTTTCTGTTAGTCCCTAGGCTGTGGTGCTCCTCCTGTGTGCGTGTCTGTGTCCAAATTCCCCCTTTTTATTTTATTTATTTATTTTTTACTTTTTAAAATATTTATTTGGTTGCACTGGGTCTTAGTTGCGGCAGGTGGGCTCCTTAGTTTCGGCCCTCCAGCTCCTTAGTTGCGACACGCATGTGGGATCTAGTTCCCTGACCAGGGATCGAACCTGGGCCACCTGCATTGGGAGCTCTGAGTCTTAACCACTGGACCACCACAGAAGTCCCCAGAAATTTACTTTTAAATGGGCAGATGTCCCCAGGAGGTGCGTGAAAATGTGACTTTATAAAATAAAGCTGGCGCACATCATTTTATCACTTAAAATATTTATATCCTTAAGCTTGCGGGAGAACGTGAACAACAGCATACATGGTAGGTGTGTAAGTTTTAAAAAACTGGTGCGCCCATGAGAGGCACAAATATTTCTGTACACAGCAGGTGCTAAAGACATGTTCACTTAACAATAGGCGCTTACAAAGTATTCAGTTTGTTAAAATCATGGATGCACGTACAAGAATATGCTGTAGATCCCCCCCAGGAGGTGTTCACGAAACGTTTTCATGCCCAGTGGGGACATGCTGTGATTCTCAGGAACTTAACTTTTGCACAGCGGAGTATACAGTAGGTGCTCAAGAGCAACACCAGATGCACCCAGTTGGTGCACAGAGATGTTTGCCAAATTTGTAATATTGCCCAAGGCCCGCTGCTTCTTTCAATAACGTGATCATGCACAGGCAGTGCTTTCTGATCCATGGAGGGGTCGGGCCGCCTCCTGTAGGACCAAGTTCTGGGGGGGCGAGGGGGCGGGAGCAGCCAGGCACCTCGGGCCCCCCAGCCCTGAGCGCACCACCCGCCTGCCCACAGCCTGCTCATCACCTCGCTCGGCCACATCAAGCTAACTGACTTCGGCCTGTCTAAGATCGGGCTCATGAGTATGGCCACCAACCTCTACGAGGGCCACATCGAGAAGGACACTCGGGAGTTCGTGGACAAGCAGGTGGGCGGGGCTGCCTCCCTCTGCCCGAAGCCTGAGCCCAGGACATGGGGAGACTTTGCAGCAAAAAGGGGAAAAGAAACTATCCCTGTAATTCTACCCACACTTTCTTCCCTGGCTGGGGGCGGTCTTTCATTTCCCTCTCCCACCTGGCCCAGGTATGCGGGACGCCTGAGTACATCGCCCCCGAGGTGATCTTCCGCCAGGGCTACGGGAAGCCAGTGGACTGGTGGGCCATGGGCGTCGTCCTCTACGAATTCCTGGTGGGCTGTGTGCCATTCTTCGGAGATACCCCTGAGGAACTCTTTGGCCAGGTGGTCAGTGGTGCGTTCCCCCTGCCCTGTCGCCCCAGGTTTAAGTCTCAGCCCCACTTTGGCTCCGGTCGGTGGTCCCCCCTGCCTTTGCCGGGGAGGGGAGCAGGCCCACTTGTGGATTGGGCACCTATGGCGTGCCCGGCCCCAGCTGAGCCCTGGGGACACAGCCAAGGGCGAGAGGGACAGTAAGGGAGATAAATAAGCAAATTATGGAGCAATCAGAGGCAAAAAATGCCGAGGAGGGAAGGAAGCAGGGAGAAGGGAGGGGGCGGGGGGCGGGTGCAGGGGTGCTATATTAAATAGAGAGTCATGCAGGGCCACACTGGGTGATGTGTGGGCAAAGACTTAAAGGAGCGAGAGGGAGTCACAGAGATGGATGAAGGGAAGGTGCTCAGGGCAGAGGGCACAGCCAGAACAAAGGCTGTATGGGACCAAGCCTGGTATGCTGAAGGAGCAGAGGGGGCTGATGGCTTGGAGCATAGAAAGGGGAGGTGCTAGGAGGTGCTAGGAAGCGCTATCCTCAGTCCCTCATTCCCTCCTCTCATTTTAGATGAGATCATGTGGCCAGAGGGGGATGAAGCCCTTCCAGCTGACGCCCAGGACCTCATCACCAGGCTGCTCCGACAGAGCCCCCTGGACCGTCTGGGCACTGGTACGTAGGTGTGGGTGAGGCCCAGGTGGGTGGGATGGGGGCTGGGGTAAACAAGAGCTCTATTTGAGAGGCTGCATAGAGGAGGGGGACTTGAAACTGGGGTTTTGAAGGATGCATAGGAGCTCACCAAGAACTAGCATAAGATTTTGAAGAGTAGCAGGTAGCTGGGTCTGGTTCAGACAAGGGGCACTGAGGCTGTGTATATGAGCCTGCCAGGTCGCCATGGGCTGTGTCCTAAGGTCCCCAAGGCCCAGCCCAGTGGACCCCACTGTCCCAAGTTTCCCCAGCCACCAAAATATTGATTAAGGGACTATTTAATATTCATGCAGCCACCCATTATGTGGCCACTACAGATCACAGTCAGGATGAAGCTTGACCACTGGAGAGGACTATGGGGGCTGAAGTTGGGGAACAGGATACAGTCAGCTCTGCTTCATGCAGTCAGCTCTGCTCCATGGGGTAGAAACATGTGGAAGAAGCCCTCTCCTAAGGTTCTGGGGTTTCTCCAGGTGATGGGATCTCAGAGTCCAGCAGAGGGAAGAGCAGGGCCTGGGTTCTAGCCCTAGCTTGGTTCCCCTATGGGCTCTTAAAGGATGGCTCGTTTCCCCTCCCATCTTTCTGGTTCTGTGTTGGCCAAGTTTGGGTTCATAATTGGCCCCGGGGGCCATGGGGGGTGGGGACCAGCAGGGCTCAGCCAGGCATGTCTGCAGGAGGCACCCACGAAGTAAAGCAGCACCCCTTCTTCTGGACACTGGACTGGGCGGGGCTTCTGCGACACAAGGCCGAGTTTGTGCCGCAGCTTGAAGCTGAGGACGACACCAGCTACTTTGACAGTAAGCAGGGGTCCAGGGGGTGGGCTGTGCTGTCCCACGATCCCCTGGGGTGGTGAGGGGTGTCTAACAGCGTCTCCACCCCAGCTTGGGGCCTCGCCTTGGGCCTGGAGCTTCCAACTTCCTGAGCTTTCCAAGAAGCTGGGGCATGTCTGCTGGCTGCCCCCCTGCCTGGATTTCCTATGCGTCTGAGCTCAGGAGGCTGTCGCACCACCTTGGGTTGCGGGAGGGGAAACCAAAGCACTGCATGTGGCAGCCCTTGCCTGGGGGTCCCCCAGCAGGTTCAGCCTCCTGAGTGTCAGCCCTGACCAGGCATGGAGCCCTGCCTGTCATACAGGAGGGTGGGGTGCCTCGCTCAGCTTTGGTGGAGGGGGTCCCCTCATGCACTTGAGGTGAGCTCAGACAAATCTCCTTCTCCCCACTCGGGGCTCTGGCCAAACACAGAGTAAACGCCCCCGGCTTCCAGTGCCTCCTCCAGAACTTGATGTGTGACCTTGGGCATGTCAGAGGTCCTCTCTGAGCATCTGTTTCCTTTTCTGTAAGATGAGGAACATCCTTTATGTTTGAGATGCACAATTTTACCTAACTCCGGATAACCCATCTTAAGGGTGAGGAAACTGAGACACAAGAATTCCCATCCACAGTCCCACAGCTTTTAGGAACACAAGTGGGATTTATTCCCAGATACTAAACCTGCCGCCCAAGCCTCCTCTGGTCCTTAAACATACCAAGCCTGGTCCCACCACAAAGCCTTTGCCCTGACAGTGTCTCCCGACCTGGGAGGCCCTCTCCACATCACCCCACAGCCCCTGTGTCCACCTCCCCCAGCATCAGGTGGGCTGCACATGCCTTTCCCTCCCGCAGCGCGCTCAGAGCGTTACCGTCACCTGGGCTCTGAAGATGACGAGACGAATGATGAGGAGTCATCCACGGAGATCCCCCAGTTCTCGTCCTGTTCCCACCGGTTCAGCAAGGTGAGCCTGGGCCCTGGATGTAGCTAGTGCTCAGGAAACAGGGCAAGATGTTTGGGGGGTTTTTTTCTTTTTTTTATCGTAGTGAAATACACGTAACGTAAAATAGACTATTTTAGCTATTTTAAACTGTACATACAATTCAGTGACATTTAGTACATTCGCAATGTTGTGCAACCGTCACCTGTATCTAGTTCCAGAACATTTCCATCATCCCCAGAGGGCAACCTTGTACCCAGCTGCAGTCACTCCTCGTTTCCCCCTCCCCCGCTCCCCGGCAACCACTCATCCGCTTTCTGTCTCTGTGCATTTACCTGTTCTGGACATTTCACATACATAGAATCATACGCTATGTGGGACCACTGGGGAATTCCCTGTGTCTGGCTTCTTAAGGTTGATCCACATGGTAGCGTGTGTCAGTGCTTCATTCCCTGTTATGGCTGAATAATATTCCATTGTGTGGTTGGACCATATTTTGTTTTGTCCACTCATCAGTTGATGGACGTTTGGGTTGTTTCCACTTTGGGGCAATTGTAAATAGATCTGCTATGCTGGGTGTTATATTATAGCCTCATCAGCTTAATCTGAGTTCCTTCCTTTGTTTATAATTTGATTTAAAAACCTGCACTGCTTATGGGTCTGGGCCCCAGGCAGGAAACCCCAGCTGTGGCCCCTTGGTAGCCAGGCTGCTCTGAGCCTCAGTTTCTCCACCTGTACAGTGGGCTAAAGACTCTACGTCTTGGGCTTCCCTGGTGGTGCAGTGGTTGAGAGTCCGCCTGCCGATGCAGGGGACATGGGTTCGTGCCCCGGTCCGGGAAGATCCCACATGCCGCGGAGCGGCTGGGCCCGTGAGCCGTGGCCGCTGAGCCTGCGCGTCCGGAGCCTGTGCTCCGCGGCTGGAGAGGCCACAGCAGTGAAAGGCCCGCGTACCGCAAAAAAAAAAAAAAAAAAACTGTATGTCTTTAGAGATGTGGTAAGTAAGCATCTGAGGAAGTGACTCAGGGAAGTGTCAGGCATGTAGGAAATACTCAACTAAGCCGTCCCCCACGAATGCGGTTGTTGTTACGGTTTTTTTGTTTCTGTTTTTTTTTTTTATGATGTGGACCTTTTTTTTTTTTCAGGTACTATCTGAATTTATTGAAGGGCTTCTTAATCTAGGGTTTGTGAACTTGCATGGGAATAAATTACATCTTTATTTTTACTAATCTCTAACTGAAATTTGGTATGTTTTCCAATTGTAATATAAGCAGCAAATCACAGTAATATTAGCATGACCTTGACTTTGTCACCAATACAAATCATGGATTTTTCATATCACGCTGGAGTCGTTGTAAAATATCTTTCAAGTTCAAAACTACTTCAAAATTATGGTACTTATGAGACCTGCTAGATCTTGTTATTTAATGCATTACTAAAGAGGCACGTATAGTACCATATTGCTGGTTTAAAAAATATTCTAATATTATTTTAATATAATCAGCCTCACTTGCAACCTGACCTATTTCATTTGATGCATTTAAAAATACTACTCTGAGGGCTTCCCAGGTGGCGCAGTGGTTGAGAGTCCGCCTGCCGATGCAGGGGACACGGGTTCGTGCCCCGGTCTGGGAAGATCCCACATGCCGCGGCGCGGCTGGGCCCGTGAGCCATGGCCACTGAGCCTGCGCGTCCGGAGCCTGTGCTCCGCAGCGGGAGAGGCCACAGCAGTGAGAGGCCCGCATACCGAAAAAAAAAAAAAAAAATACTACTCTGAGAAGAGGTCTGTAGGTGTTACCACTTTGCCAAAGGGGCTCATGTACAGAAATCCATGCTTGTCATGATGGTAGCAGCTCCTCCTCAGAAGCCTCAAGGGCCAGAGCTCTGCCCAGAACTCCCCTTCAGATGTGGACCATTTTTTAAAGTCTTTATTGAATTTGTTTCGCTATTGCTTCTGTTTTATGTTTTGGTTTTTTGGCTGCAAGGCATGTGGGATCTCAGCTCCCTGACCAGGGATTGAACCCACACCCCCTGCATTGGAAGGCGAAGTCTTAACCACTGGACTGCCAGGGAAGTCCCGTTATTGTTATTTTTAATTGCTTCCCAGGTCTACAGCAGCTCTGAGTTCCTGGCCGCCCAGCCCACCCCAACCTTTGCTGAACGGAGCTTCAGTGAGGACCGGGAGGAAGGGTGGGAGCGCAGCAGTGAGGGGGACTATGGGCGCCGGCTGAGCACCACCGAGGTCCGGTAGGTGGGCTGGGGAGTATAAGCAGGTCCAGCTTCCAAACCTGCTGAGAGGTGGAGCCACAAAGTCTTAACATTGGAAAGAGCTTCCCAGTGGCCCAGTAGAAAAGGGTAAAACATATTGGCCAGCCTGTCAGACCCCTGCCAACCTGGCCCCTATCATCACTCCCTTTGGCTTTGCATTCCTAACCACACTAAACCTAAAGCAGCCATGTACCATCACACTGCTAGGCTTTTGCTTGCGCTGTTTCCTCTGCCCAGAATACCCTTTGCTCATGAAGTCCCTTTCATCTTTCAATGTCCAAACTCACAGAAATAATCAACGTCTGCTAGAGGATGGGCGTTGGAAGCTGGGTTTTAAAAATTGAATAGGAGTTCTCTGGGCAGTCACAGAGGACAGAGCAGGCAGAGGGAACTCACCTTATATTTACAAATTACCTCTGACTCTAGGCTGAGAGTTAAGGTATGGTCACTAGGGGAGACTGGGTGTCCTGGGGTGAGGGCACCTGGCAGGTGTGACTCAGGCTCTTCCCTGCTACAGGCTGAGGTCCTGCACATCCTCCGGTTCCTCCTGCCACTTACCCTGTTCCCAGCCTGAGCGGGGCCCTAGCCCATCTTTCCTGAACACCATCAACCTGGACACGATGCCCAAATTTGCCTTCTCATCAGAGGATGAGGGAGTCGGCCCAGCTCCTGTGGGCCCCAAAAGGCCCGTCTTCATTCTGGGGGAGCCCGACCCACCCCCAGCAGCCACCCCAGTGTTGCCCAAGCCCTCAAGCCTTTCTGGTAGGTGGAATCCAGGGTGGGAGGGATGGTGTCATGCAGAGTTTCCCACAGGAGGGACTATTTGAGATGGGTTTTGAAGGATGAGTAGGAGTTCTCTAGAGACAACATTCACTTGTGTAACAAAGGCCTCAGTCTGAGGGTGATACCCCCCAGCTTCATTGGATTAGGATGGGAGAGAGGAATTGAACTGGGGAGCTCCAAGAGTGGGAGTTAGGAATCTGACTGGGGTGAGGGGAAGGCTTCTTGAAGTAGGGGACTTGAAGAGTGGAGCTTCCCAGGGACAGCAGTGAAAGAAAGGTGTGCAGGAAGAGGGAATGCCTGAACAAAGGCCAGGAGGCTGGACTGTGTACACACCGACCAGGGAGGAAGGGGCTTTGCCTTCTGAGGGCAGAAGGGCCAAGTGGTGAGATGGGGGAGGGGCAGACTGACCCCCCGACCCTGCTGATCCCCGTAGCTGACACAGCTGCCCTCAGCCACGCGCGCCTACGAAGCAACAGCACTGGTGCACGACACTCTACGCCGAGGGCCCTGGATGCCGGCCGGGGCCGCCGCCTTGGGGGCCCGAGAGACTCAGCCCCTGAGAAATCCAGGACCTCCCCCAGCGGGGGTCGCGTGCCCAAGTCAGCCTCAGTGTCTGCCCTGTCGCTCATCATCACGGCAGGTGACGCCCATGGCCCAGCCTCGTCTTTGCTTGTCTGTCCATGTCCATTTTAACCACGGAGTAGGGGCTGCTTTGGCCAGCGGGAGCTGGAGGGGGTCCCTCCAGGTGATGTGTCCCCAGGCACAAAGCTCCCAGGGCTGCTGTTCGGGGCTGAGCCCAGGAGATAGGAAGCAGCTGGGGAACTGGCATTCCTGGCAGCGGGCACTACATGTGCAAAGGCCTGGAGGGGAAGGGGGAGGGTGTTTAGGGCATTGGAGTGGCAGCAAAGCAGCCAGAGTGATCAGTGTGGGGACTTCCCTGGTGGTCCAGTGGTTAAGACTCTGAGCTTCCACTGCAGGGGCACAGGTTCGATCCCTGGTCCGGGAACTAAGATCCCACATGCTGCGCCGTGCGGCCAAAAAACAAAAACAGAAACAAACCGACTGATTGGTGTGGAGGGAGGGGAAGGTGCCTTGCGAGGGGACCCACAAGGGAGTGACCCCCCTCCTTGAACCTCGTCCCTGCAGATGACGGTAGCGGCGGCCCCCTCATGAGCCCCCTGTCCCCACGCTCGCTGTCCTCAAACCCGTCGTCACGCGACTCCTCTCCAAGCCGAGACCCTTCCCCCGTGTGTGGCAGCCTGCGGCCCCCCATTGTCATCCACAGCTCGGGCAAGAAGTATGGCTTCAGCCTGCGGGCAATCCGCGTCTACATGGGTGACAGTGACATCTACACCGTGCACCATGTTGTGTGGGTGAGTTGGCCCTGGGATGGGCGGGAACAGCCAGACCTGGTTTGAGTCCCAGCTCTGCCCTGGCAAGGCGCCTCCCTTTTGGAGCTGCATTTGTTAGTCTTGGAAAGCAAGCGAATACTCATTGCCTGTGAGGTTTTGGAGCCCAGGGCAGGGAACTGTCGCCACCTGTGTCTTAATGGTCCTTGTCAGTTATGGGGAGAGGACTGGGCAAGAGGGATGGAGACCTCAAGTGGGCACAAAGCTCCCGCACAGTGTTTTGTCCTCCCTCCCCCAGCCCAGGACCTGTCCCCTCCCTACTGGTCTCTGAAAGGTCTGGGAAACCAGGCAGTGTGAAAGGCAGCAGCTTGCTGGGGGCCTGTAGCTGACTCAGCTGGGCTGGGGTCTCTAGCTCTGGGGCCCAGGCCACTGACCCCGCTATCTGCCCCCACCCCCAGAGTGTGGAGGAGGGAAGCCCTGCCCAGGAGGCAGGCCTGCGGGCCGGGGACCTCATCACCCACATCAACGGGGAGTCGGTCCTGGGGCTGGTGCACATGGACGTCGTGGAGCTACTGCTGAAGGTGCAGGCCCCCAACCCCACCCCAGCCTCCACCCCAGAGCCTCCACCCCCGTCCATCCTCAGGGCCCCTGGATCTCCCAACACTGCCCACCCTCTGGGCTGCTCCTGTGACCTCCGTCCCTACGCCTTGGCCTCAGCTCCCAATTCTGTGTGGTTCCCCCCGTCCAACCATACCACTCCGCATTCGGCCCTGCATGCCCCGTCCCCTCTGCCTCAGAGCCACTCCTCCAGGAAGCCCTTCCTGCCCCCTGGGTGCCCCTTCTCCTGACCTTGCCTCTGGCCCACCCTGACTCTGTGGGGCTGGGGGTGTCTGTACCATCTTGGCCTCCTGCCTCCCCTCAGACCAAGGGTCCTCGGGGGCTGAGGCCTAGAGGCGGGGAGGTGGACACAGGTGAGGAGGCAGACCCCTAGTTGGATAGCTCCTGGGACCAGTGGGTGGGTAGATGGCTCAATGGATGGATGGACAGATGGCAGACGTCCATCTTTGGCCCAGTGAGTGGTGGGGTCATTAGGTAAGAAGCGGGTGGTTAGGATCCGGGGCTTCCAATGGGTGAGTAGATGGGTGGGTGGGTGCATGGACGGCTCGTTGGATGGAAGGCACACAGGCGACCCCTTGCCATCCCTCCTGCAGAGTGGCAACAAGATCGCCCTTCGGACCACGCCCCTGGAGAACACCTCCATCAAGGTGGGCCCTGCACGGAAGAATGTGACCAAGGGCCGCATGGCGCGCAGGAACAAGCGGAGCCGAAGGCGGGAGACGCAGGAGCGGTGAGCGGCGGCCTGGCTGCCGGGGAGGGTTCATGCAGGACCTGTGGCACATTTGGGCGGCCCGGGCTGCTGGGGGCAGGGGTTTTGAAGAATCTGGGTTCCTAACCCCCAGGCGGAAGTCGCTCTTCAAGAAGATCTCAAAACAGTCGTCCGTGCTGCACACCAGCCGCAGCTTCTCTTCCGGCCTCCACCACTCCCTGTCATCCAGTGAGAGCCTCCCGGGCTCACCCACCCACAGCCTCTCCCCCAGCCCCACCACGCCCTGCTGCAGCCCGGCTCCCGATGCCCCAGCAGGTGGGTGCACCCCCAGGACCACCCTGGGAAGAACAGCCCCTTAGGGCTGTGGTGGTCAGCCCAGCGGGGGAGTGAGCAGAGTTGGGAGGCTGGAATGACCTGATGTGTGACAGCCTCAAAGCCAGTCTGGGATGGGCAGGGAAGGTTGTGCCCAGCAGACGGAACATCGTGAACAAAGGGGATCCAGACAAGAGAGATGTGAAAGCTAGAGGGAGGCTAGGGAGAGGGGATTGGGGGATGGATCAAGCCGAAGAGCTGGGCTTAAATTGGGGGGCAGTAGGGAGCCATGGAGGGTGAGCCAGAGAGGGCATGGAAAGATTGTTCTGGAGCAGGAAAGGATGGTGACTTGGCCCAACCCTGAGGGTCCCCAGTCTGTGAGAGACAGACAGAGATGGATACCCCTAGTCCCACTGGGTTAGCATCAGACTAGAGAGACAGTCTGGGGCAATCCACAGAGGCAGGGAAGGCCTCCTGGGGGAGAGCCACCAGGAAGCCCTCCCTGCTTTCTGGGGACCCCAACTGCTATCTCTCCCTCTGGCCTACCCTGACCTCATGGGGCTGGGGGTATCTGTGCCATCTTTGTCTTTCTCAGATCAGGCATCCTCAGGGGCTGAGGCCTAGGGGTGGGGAGTGGACACAGGCAGAGGCAGGGCCCTTACTGGATAACTTCCAGAACCAGTGGGTGGATGGCTCATGGGATGGATAGATGGACGGTGGGCAGGTACCTTTGGCTGAATGAGTCAGTGGGTCATTTAAGTGAGAAGTGGGTGAAGAGGAGCTAGGGCTTTGATGGATGAGTAGGAGTCCACCAGATCTAAGCCAAAGGAAGAGCTTGTGCAAACAAAGGAAACACCAGGCCTGATGGGTGGCCACAGGGAACAGTGTGGGCTTTTGGCAGTCAGTCTTAGGGCCCCACCTCGAGGCTGGCACATTGAGGCTGGTGGCCCTGACCCTCCCGTCACCCACAGACACAGTGTCTCCACCCAGCGCATCCCCAAGCTCCAGCAGCCCTGCATCTCCGGCTGCCGCTGGCCACACCCGACCCAGCTCCCTGCATGGCCTGGCCACCAAGCTTGGGCCACCCCGCCCCAAAGCCGGCCGCCGCAAGTCCACCAGCAGCATCCCGCCCTCCCCGCTGGCCTGCCCGCCCGTGCCAGCGCCCCCACCCCGCTCACCCTCGCCCCTGCCAGGGCACCCGCCTGCGCCTGCCCGGTCCCCAAGGCTGCGCCGAGGCCAGTCGGCTGACAAGCTGGGTACAGGTGAGCGGCTCGACGGGGAGCTGGGGCGCCGCAGCCGCGGGCCAGACTCCGAGCTGGTGGTCATGCGACGGCTGCATCTGTCCGAGCGCCGAGACTCATTCAAGAAGCAGGAGGCTGTGCAGGAGGTGAGCTTTGATGAACCACCTGAGGAGGCCACTGGGCCACCCACCTTGGTGCCGCAGATCGCCGTGGAGGGCGCTGAGGCTGTGCCAGGAGCCCTTGGACCCTCTGAGAAAGACTAATCCCTCCTACCTATCCTCTCCCTGGCCTGGAAGTCAACGCATTTTTTGTGGAATGTGTTTTCCATAAATTGACACCTGGATGGAGACTGAGCCACCAGCCTCTGACACCTGGAAGATGAGAAGCGATCACGTTTCTTGCTGGAAGGTGCCTCCCTCGTGTTCTGGAGCCGATCAATCAGGGGGCCGTAGGGGCAGGCAAGGGAGACTAGGGTGGCATTGTAAATAGCAGCAAATCCCTGCAGCTAATTTATTACGTTTCATAAGCGATAGCCAGACTGAGCTGCCACTGTTAAGGCAGCTGCCCAGGTCTTGTCCCATGCACTTGGGACCCATCTGTAGACCCTGCCCCCTGGGCTGAGAAGGAAGCACTTTGGACAAGTCAACGTGTATTCGTGTTTTATGGTTTTTCTGTACTTTTAAAGTTTTTTTGTGTTACTTGATCCCACCCCTGACTCAAGACCCGCAGATTTGAAGGGATGCAGTCAAGCTTACCTGTCCAGGCCCAGTTTGGATGACTTGGAGATTCCGTAAACAATTCCCCTCCACCACAAAACAAAGTAATCTTGATGATGGACTGGATTCTGAAGGCTACTTCCTACCATCATAGCCTCCATCCCTAGGCCAGCCATGCTAGAGTCTGCCTCCAGTCCTATAGGCTTAGGAGGTGTGGGAACTGGGGCTTTGATATATGAGTAGAAGTTCACCAGATCTAGGCAGAGGGGTCACCTGCGTCACAAGCAGACACTGATGCCCCAGGAGGCAGAGGCCTCAAAGGACACTGCCAGGGTAGGAGAAGACCCTGGACAAGATTTTTTGTATTTGATGCGCACCAGGGTGAGAACTTGACCATGATGTGTCTGAAACAGCCCCTGGGGGGTGCCCTCGATATGCCAGAGCCTTGTAGGGCTGAAATTCGAGTGAGAAAAATCCAACTGGGGGGCAGTGAGGCCCAAGTTGGAATCTTGGCTTCACTGTTTGGCTCTGGGAAAATGACTTCCCCACTCTGTGCCTCAGTTTCCTTGTGTTTACAAAACAAATCCCAATGACTATTAAGCACCTACTGTATGCCAAGCGCTTTACTTGTGGCTTTTCCCTCAGCCAACCTTGAGAAGGCTGGAGGTGGTGTCGTCATCCCCATTTTACAGACAAATAACTAAGGCCTGGCAAGGCGTGGAGACTTGCCCCCACCATTGCCTGGAAAGAGTCATGCAGCCAGGCCCTGTCCTGGGCATTGTAGTCAAGGGAGCTGGAATGGAGAATCTGTTGTCAGATACAGCCGACTCCAGCTCCAGCTCTCTCCCCTGTAATGCTGTGTGACCCACTGGGCATCTCAGAGTCTCCATTTCCCATTCAGAGGTGGCCAGCAAGATCACCGTACCCCACAATGGTGAGGGCACTTTCCAGGCACTGCAGCCCACTCTGTGTTCTCTCTGGAGACATCCGTGCAGCACTGCCTGGTGTTGAAACTAGATCAAGGCTGTGCATGACTTGCTCCCGCCTTCCATCCCGGAGCTGACGGTGAATAAAAGCCCACATTTACAAAGAAGAGGTCCAATGTCTGGATTTGTGAGGGGCCAAGAAAAGGGTAAGGGAAGAGTGGGGTGGGGGGGCGGGATGAAAACAGACCCTTGGCTCAAAGTCACTTGAAGTGGTTTTTGTTTTTTGTTTTTGGCGGTACGCGGGCCTCTCACTGTTGTGGCCTCTCCCGTCGTGGAGCACAGGCTCCTGACGCACAAGCTCAGCGGCCATGGCTCACGGGCCCGGCCGTGCCGCGGCATGTGGGATCTTCCCGGACCGGGGCACGAACCCGTGTCCCCTGCATCGGCAGGCGGGCTCTCAACCACTGCGCCACCAGAGAAGCCCTTGAAGTGGGTTTTGAAGGCTGCTGGGAATTCACTGTTGAGATTCTTCCTGATGCCTTCTCCGGTCCTGGCCTCCTGCTGCCCTCTCTGAATTGAGTACCCATCATGGGCTCTGTCCTTAGAAGCTTCATCCAGACACCCGTCTGGGGCCTTGAAGCTGTGTTAATAAATAAATAAACCATCTTTGTGTCCTTTTTTAACCCGTCTTTGCTTGGGCTGTGCCCTTAAGTTCCCCTCACCACCACTGGAACCCAGCCCAGCCCGAGCGCGTTCGGTTACTTCCGAAGCGCTCCGTAGGTCGGAAACCTTTGGCCACGCCCCCTGTTTCCGAGTGTCTTCGGCTATCTCCGGAAACAGTCCGCATCTGTACAGGCGTTGGGCTAGTTCACCATACCCAAGAGTTAGTTCAGCTGTTTCCAGACACTCTGGGCTACCACGGAAACCCCGGCTTTCAACTCCGGCTCCTTCTCGGCTCTCAGCTTGTTTCCTGAAAAGCGCAGCTTTCTGTCTGAGCCCCTCCCCTCAACCCTGCCGCCTCCATTTCCTGAGTTCTGGGCCACCTCACTCGTCCTCTGGAGCCGTCCATGCTTCGGCAGTTTCCGGAAGCTGGTGGTCGCCCCTAGATCTAAGTTCCCAGGGCCTCATTTGGGACCGAGCACCCTTGGTTCTTTCCAGAAACTTTCCGAAGTCTCGGGGCCCAGCCTCTGTTCTGCCGGTCCGGGGGCAGTGCGCTCGGTCATTTCCGGAATCGCTCGGGCATCTCTGAGTCCAGCCGAGCCTAGCCGAGCCCAGCCTCGGAATTATTCATCTGACCCGATTATGTTCGGCTGTTTCCGGAAATGATCGGCTATCTCGGGGCGCCCCACCCCCACCCCCGTTACCCTCCAGTCCCGCGGGAGTACGTTCGGCTCTTTCCGGAAACATTCGAGCGTTCCCAGGCTCTGCCTCGGCCTCATTGCGCCCTCCCGGCCCGAATATGCTCGGCCGTTTCCGCCGGGGGCGGGCCCGACCGTTCGGAACATCGGCGGCGGCGGAGGTGGGGATCCCGCGGCTGCGGCGACGGCGGCCGCGGTGGAGCCACGGGTCTGGCTCGGCTCTGCGTGACGGCGGCCGCGGCAGCAGCGGTGGCGGCCGCGACCAGGTAAGTCCGCGTTGGTCCGCGTGGCAGGCCGGTCTGGGGGTTCGGTCAGATGCGGGGCGCCCAGGCAGAGTGTGGGGCCACGGTGGAAGCCAGAATGCGAGCAGGGTTGCATCGGGCCCCGCGGGAATTGGGGGCCGCAGGGAGCGGGAGGCCTCTGGCTCGACCTGGCTGCGTTGCAGCCTTCCCCGGACGATGGGGGCGGAACGGGGGACCCTAGGCAGAGATAAGGGGTTGGAGCTGCGGCCCTGAATTGAGGGAGGCCCTGCCGGGAGTGGGGCATCGAGCAGTAATGAGGGGCGCCCAGGCATTGTGTGGGGCATAGTGGGGTGCAAGACGGTAGAGGGTCGACTCCACTTCCGGCCCCTGGGCTGGGTTGCGGGGTCCACGCAGGCCCGAGTGCGCGTCTGCACACGCGTGAGCGCGCAGGCCCTGAGTCCAGCCGCCAAGACCCCAGCCAGGCCTGGCCTCTCCACCCGCCTCTTGGATTCGGGGAGCGCTGGTTCCCAGGCGCGCACACCGGGGCGTGTGCAAACGTGTGCTCAGCTGGGCGCGGAGGCGGGCAGGCAAGCGGATTTAGGCGGTTTCCTGGACGTCCCCCTCGCTGGGCCTCAGTTTCCCCACCTGTAGAGTTGGGGTACAGGGGCCAGGGAGTGGGTAAGTTGGGGCGTCCTGGAATGTGGAGCTTGTGCTCCCTGCTTGGACACCTCTTGCTGCTCCCGTGGTTGAGGGATAAAGTCTGACCCTCTGCCTGGCACTCGAGGCCCTGCGTGGTCTGCTGCTTTCTTAAAGCCACCCTGAACTCTCGGCAAGCATTTCTTGCTGTCAAGTCTTTGCCTGTACTATTTCCTCTGGCCAGTGCCCCCTCCTCTCCTCTGGAGGACCCGCCCCTAGGAAAAGCACCGCCTACCACCCCCCAACCTCTCTGGAGGACTGAACCTGCAGGGCTGCGATTGAGAACGTGTCTCTGCTGGACTGTGTCACCCTGAGACTGGGGGCTCCTAAGGAGTGATCATTGCCCCTGCATCCAGCAGCCTCCCTCTTGGCAGTCGTAGTGCCCTCCTTCCCTTCACCCTTTACTGGCTCCATGTCTACCCTGGGGCTAAGGTCCTCTTGGCCTCCCACCAACCCCCTTCTGTTTTGAGTACCTACTGTGGGCACCAAACTGAGCAATGTCTGGACACCCCCCCCCCCCGCCCATTCCCTCCTCCCCTGCAGAGATCAGAGATCCATTTGTTTGGACTCACCTCTAGGCCTTTGCCTGTGCTAGGGCCTCTGCTTGGACCTCCTTTCCTACTGCCTTTTGCCCCTGATGCCTCCTTCTGTGCTCAGCTGGCCCAGTCTCTCCTCGGGGCTCCCACAGCACCCTGAGCGTCACCCATTACACCCTACCCACTCTGGGTACAACTCTCATCTGTCCTGTGCCTTGTGAAGTTGGACGGATCTGAGTTTTTGAGTCCTGGCATCCTGGCCCATTGAGTTGTCCAACAAAGACCTCCCTGCTCTGAGCCTCAGATTCCCCATCTCTAACAGGGATGATGAAGAGCTTGTTTACTGAGCCCGCCATATGCCCGGGGCAGATTCTTTGGAGCTCTGCCCCCAACAACCCCCAAGGAGGGCTATTATTGTACCCATTTTACAGCTGGGTAAACTGAGGGGGCAGGGACTGGCCCCCTGTTACCCAATGAGTCAGGGGATTCTAACCTGGTGTTTGGGCCCATCTCTGAGTTGGGGGTGGCAGGAGTCCAAACTGGCTGATGCTGCCCTGCCCCTCTCCCCTTAGGTCGGCGTCCCGAGCCGAGCATGGTGACAGCCTGTGCCCTCGGCCCCCTCGCCTGGCGCAGCTGGAAGAGCCGCCAGCCTCGGGAGCCGATGGCTCCCCACGCAAGGGAGTGAGCGGCCCAGCCCAGCCCTACGGATTGAGGGGGGACGCAGCGGCTGAGTGACCTGAGATCACGCTGCTGCCGACCCCCTCCCACCAGTTGACGAATGGTGGACCGAGCAACAAGTGACCCTTGTCAGGGTCGTGGAACAATGGTGGGAAGCAAGGCGTGAGCATCCCCTGTGGTCACCTGTAACTTCTTGGTGGAAATAGAGGTCTGAGTCCCCAAGCCCACCCAGCGGACCCTCCTGGCCCCCACCCCAGGCTGATGGGGCCACTGGGGCCCCAAGCAGCCACCTGACCATCCATACCCCACCCTGCCCAGCCATGGCTGGCGCCGAGGGCTTCCAATACCGTGCGTTGTACCCGTTCTGCCGGGAGCGGCCGGAGGACCTGGAGCTGCTGCCGGGCGACGTGCTGGTGGTGAGCAGGGCAGCCCTGCAGGCGCTGGGCGTGGCCGAGGGCAGCGAGCGCTGCCCACAGAGCGTGGGCTGGATGCCTGGCCTCAATGAGCGTACACGGCAGCGCGGCGACTTCCCTGGCACCTATGTTGAGTTCCTAGGGCCTGTGACCCTGGCCCGGCCTGGGCCTCGCCCACGTGGCCCACGCCCACTGCCTGCCAGGCCCCGAGACGGGCCCCCTGAGCCAGGTGAGCAACAGGTAGGGGCCCTGGCAGGGCTGGGGAAAGGAAAAGGGGGAGTGCCCTCAGACCCTCAGTTTCCTCTTCTCTCCCATGAGGCAATGGTGCTGCTTCCAGGAGAGGAGGAATAAGGACATTTGGTTGGTCAGCAAATGTTGATTATACTGCCGTCAAGGGCTGGATGCAGTTCACGGCACTGGGCACCGAGTGGTGGACACAAGGCCTGGCCCTGCCCTCATGGAGCTTCTGGTTCAAGAAGTGACGAGAACGTGATTAGGGAATGACAGATGCTGTGAGGAAGGAGCCTCTCAGGAGAGATGGGGGTAAAGGGCTCCGGGCAGCAGGTACAGCGAGGACAAAAGCCCTGAGGTGGGAATGTCATGACGGGTTCAGGGAACAAGCCGTCAGGTGGAGCAGAGTGAGAAAAGGGGCAGGGTCCTCACCTCAAGGACTTCGTGGGATTGATTTTGAAGACAATAGGGAGTGTCCAGTAAGATTCAGGGGCTCAATTTAGCTTCATCTTGTGGTTTGCAGACAAAGAGTGTCCTGGGAGTGGAGAATCAGGACAAGTTGGACGGAACATACGCTGCAATTGCTGTGTGCTGGGCTGTATGCTGGGCAGGGTGTGTGGGTTCCAACCAGGGAAACCGAGGCTCAGCTTGTGGGGAGGAGGCTGTTGAGTGCTGAGCACCCGGCGTGGTCTGCTCCAACCCTCACAGCTGCCCAGTGAGGCCCTGTGTACAGATGTGGAGACCAAGGTGCAAGGGGGTTGAACCACTCGCTCAGGGGCAGTCACCCAGTGAAGGCCAAAGCCCCTGGGAGGCACCGTGGCCCCACCCGATGGCCTGCCTGGTCTTGTGCCCAAGGGACACTGATGCCCAAAGAGGGTCAGGCCAGAGTCCCACAGCGTGGGGTGGAATGGCGGGGTGCTGAGGCAGCATGGTTGCTGGCTTGGGCTTTGCAGCATCTGGCGTCTCCAGGGCCGGGGCCTGCGTCCCGCCTCGGCCTAGAGGAGCAGGAGGCG